CTCTCTCTCTCTCTCTCTCTCTCTCTCTCTCTCTCACACACACACACACACACACACACACATATGATCGCCCAGAGCGTGACGCTGTGTATAAGAGCGTTTTCGCGAGATGGTTCGAGCTACTTACCCTGGCTCTACAAAGCTTGTCTGAGACGCAGAATCTTCAGCCAAGGGCCCATGTTGTCTGAAATTGAATTGACCCCTGTTTCTGGGCCACCTAGACGGGACTAACTGTGCTAAAGCGGGGTCATGTTCAGACCTGCTGGTCGTGAGTCTGTTTGGAGATGACGAGGAGAACCAATACAAAACCAGGTTCACTCGAAAACCCCTGGATGTGAGCGAGTATTCCCTCAAAACGCTTCCCTCCCCTACTTAATCTACTCTAATTATGGTCTTCCAATCCGTCCATCTGCCTCCATCCTGTGCGCTCACCCTGATCAGAAGATTATTCCCCGCCTAACTAATGCGGGTGAGCTCACAGGATAGAGGACGATAGATGGACCGAATGCGTATTCGTCATTCCCGTCAATCAATACGGAGGAGAGCAAGCGCATACGTCACGACATTTTCAACCGAATCTAGTCGTAGTTACAATCAGATTCATCCAAAAACGTTTTCTGTGCCCATGGCGCTGATTATTGCTACATTGTAAACTGATGTAGCACAGTGCAAAATTAGTGAGCATGCGCATACTGTTCTGTTCACAAAATAATAAATTAGAGCACAACAAAACAAGTTTAAATGATGAAAACGTTCCCAGGGAGAAGAAATTGTCACCCACCCGTAATAATCCCAAAATACATTACTCCGAAAAAAACATCATACAACTAAACCCAAAAAAAAGAAGAAGAATCATATACTGATGACAGTGATGATGATTAATTGGCACCCATTACGAGACTCTGCTCACACGACAAAGAGTTCCTTCCTCGTGTGTCCTCCCATCATACGGAAAATGCGCATGCGCAGCTAACGGGCACCGTAACGGCGCATAACAGGAGATCCACACACCCCCGTTTCCATCAAGATTGTCGTTTAAGATCTTGTTCCGACGCGATCAGCAATATCAAACACATAAAAATAAACACACTGACAAAGGGATGGCCGAAAGGTGTGACGCTACAAGGACTCTCTGTGTCTCTCTCTGCTCCTCCTCCTCCTCCTCTAAGCGTGCAAGGGGATGAAAAACGTGTTACACTAACAGTCCCCACTACACCCTCTCCCGTCTCATGGTGTTTTTTCCCTCCCATCCCCTTCCCTACTCCGTCCTCCTGCGCGTGTGCGTGTGAGAGAGAGAGAGGTGCTTGTCCGTGCGTGCATGTATGTGGGTAACCGTGTGTGCAGGGGAGGGCTGTCTCCAAGTGAGTGAGACAGACTCCCGGACGGAAGATGGCGTAGACTACTTACCCTTGCTCAACAAGACCACCTCAGAAAAGTAGAATCTTCAGCCCAAGGCCAGTCGGCCCTGAATTTGCTCGCCTTTCTGCTGTTCGTTGCCCGTTCCCCTTCTGTTCGTTGCTCCAAGGGCTTCACCAGCGTGCCTCTCCCTTCGTCTCCGGTTCTCCGTCCTCAACGTTCCAAGATGGCAGCTAGATAGTCTGAACACAACGCGGCGCACACATGACACCCCCCGTGTCCTGACGGAAGAGAACGACCGATACTCCAAATACAACGTCCCACACTCCAAATAAAGACGTACTGAAACCTGGGCGCTCGGTTTCAGGTTCATGCCTCAGGAGCAAGCAGAAGGTTTGTGCATGTCGAGGGGTGCCGCCGGTTACCTTGAACATCTAGTTCTGTTTGGTTGGATAGCTGGGACTCAGGACTTTGCTCGGTTTTAGACACTAGTTACAGCTCCGGTCTTCCCCCGAACACAACGCACCCTCATTTTGACTGTATCGGGCTGGAAACATGCCTTGCATACGTTCATTTTCAGGGTGCGGGGGGAAGACGGTAGGTAAGTTTGGTGACATTGTTCTGGTTTGTTAGACTTCTAGGCCGTGAGGCCCTATGGGCTCATACAAAAACATACATGTCCCCATGGCCCTATGGGCTCATACAACACATACATAGCCTCTGGGCACGTACACATGCACACAACTACGATACTGGGCTGGGGGGGTCTATCAGGTATATGACGGGGTCTACTCACGCATGGCTAAGCTCTAGGGTAGGATAGGGATATAAGTAGCTCCGGCTAGTTCGCAGCCCGTCAGGGTTGCGTTCTCCCCCCTGAGAACATTTTTCGTCGTCATTATACGGTCGTTGGAAGGCTGGAAAAGCAAGGCATGGCAGTTTAGGGGGTGGTGGCATCTTATTTGAAACTGCAGGACCGGTAGTTCGCATCCCGTCAGGGGTGCGTTTTATGCCCTGGGAACATTGCATTTTTTATGCCCTGGGAACATTTTTCGTCGTCGTCACCAAACGGTGCGGTAGTTGAAAGGGTGGTGTATTTGCTGGGGGTCCAATTCGTGGGAAATAAGCAGTTCAAGGAAGTGCAGGACCGGTAGCTGCCCGTGGCATTAGGGCCTTGAAATTTCGAATCTGAAACGGCGTGGACGCAGGCCCTGTGGTGAGTTAGGGCGGGTTTTTAGGGGGAGCGCCGACTGGAAGGCGCAGGCGGGTCCAATCTTGCAATTTTCGAGCGCCAACTTTGGCGATTTTTCGTACGCAGAATAATTGGAGAAAAGATCTGAAAATTTGATATCGGGTAGGCCATGTCGTGATCTTTCCAGRAAAAATATCAACAAAATAAAATAAAATCGTTTAGACCATGAAATAAATGCCGCGCCAATTCATCACTTTTTCCATTTTTGGCACACGACAACTTGTGGGCCAACGGGAAAAGTACCCCTATTTCAAAGATTTTTCACGCTCAAAAGAACTAGTAAACAAGTCTGAAAATTTGAGGGTCCGTAGATTTGGTCATGATCTTTTCAGGAAAAATGTTTTAAAAAATTAAACAAATTGTTTCAACTGCGAAATAGCTTATAGCGCAAATTCATCCCATTTTCCATAGTGGTGGTTTGAATTCGAAGCCTGTCATGGTCGAAATCGAAATAGGCCAAAAGCAGCGGCGGCCGCTCCAATTCCCTCTGCCTTCACAAAGTGATAGTCTCCCTGTGGCGCGGGGAGCGTGGTGCCTTATCGATCGAGGCGTTTTGACAAAGTGGCGCCGCGCCTGATTTCTTTCTCTCTCTCTCTCTCTCTCTCTCTCTCTCACACACACACACACACACACACACACACA